CCTAAATACCAAATTTCAAAACACCATTATGGGTAAAGAAGATAGAGGATGCAGGTGAAAGAGGTCCTTGAAGGAATGAAAACATTGGACTGGAAGGCAGAAGACCTGATTTCGTGAGCCTCTGTGTGTCTCAGTATTCCCACTGATAAGATGAGAGGACTGGATGAGCCTCAAGCCTCTAGAGAAGACTGCAAAGATGACCACAACAATTTCTCCCATCACTGTGTTTGCCTCTTTGCAACTTGATATTGCTTTTTCTCCCATCAAGAGGCAGAATCTCTTTCCCCTCTCCTTGAATCTGGGCTAGCCCTGTACCTTGCTTTGACCATGAAATGCAGTAGAAGTGACTTTATGTAACTTTTGAGTCTAAGCCTTAAGAGACCTTGTAGCTTCCACTGTCAGCTTCTTAGAATGATGGGGTGGCATGTGAACAAGCCTGGGCTAGCCTCCTTGAGTGTAAAAGACCATGTGCCAGATGAATGCAATCACATGAGTAATCCCCGGGTAAAGCCATATGAAAAACATTAAGCTGAGCTCAGCCAAAGTTGCTCGACACAGAATTGTGAACAAATGAGATTGTTATTGTTTTAATACCCCCTCCAAATCCATCAACAAAAACTACGATGTGAATGACAAAATGAGAGGACGTCTCTAGTAACTATATACATCTTAAAATCAACTTTTAAAAATACGTATAGTGATGAAATGTTCTAAAACTGGATTGTGGTAATGGTTGCACAACTATGTAAGTTTCCAAAAAAAATTATTGAATTGTACACTTAAAACAGGTGAATTTTATGGGGGATAGATTATATCTCAATAAAGCTGTTAAAAATACACATGAGCAAGCACTTTATCAAAGTAGTAATGAAAGTTGTCAATCTCTAACCTCTCCCTACTAATTAAAACAAGATACCATTTTTTTTTTTTTGCCTGTTAGATTGGCAGAGTTGTTTTGTTGGGGTTTTTGTTGTTGTTGTTGTTGTTTTTTAAAGATGACCAGTAAGGGGATCTTAACCCTTGGCTTGGTGTTGTCAGCACCACGCTCAGCCAGTGAGCAAACCGGCCATCCGTATATAGGATCTGAACCCATGGCCTTGGGGTTATCAGCACCGCACTCTCCCAAGTGAGCTAACCGGCCATCCCTATATAGGATCCGAACCCATGGCCTTGGGGTTATCAGCACCGCACTCTCCCAAGTGAGCTAACCGGCCATCCCTATATAGGATCCGAACCCATGGCCTTGGGGTTATCAGCACCGCACTCTCCCAAGTGAGCTAACCGGCCATCCCTATATAGGATCCGAACCCATGGCCTTGGTGTTATCAGCACCGCACTCTCCCAAGTGAGCCACGGGCCGGCCCATATTGGTTTGTTTTTTAATTATAATATGCATTTTAGGTTAGGATGTAAAGAAATGGCCATGATATGTTAAGTGAAAAAAGTAACTTACAAATCACTATGTGCACCACGTTGCCAATTACGTTAAAAGTTCCATACATAAGTGTAGAAATTAGACTGCAAGAACATAAACCAAAATGTTATACCTATTTGATGGGATGATAGATGACTGTCATTTTCAGTTTTTAAATTATTTTCTGACTATATGTATTTCTTTTGTAATTTTAATTAGTTTTTTGGTTTTGGTTTTGGTTTTGTTTTTTTAAAAGATGACCATAAGAGGACCTTAACCCTTGACTTTGTGTTGTCAGCACCAGGCTCTCCCAAGTGAGCTAACCGGCCATCCCTATATAGGGATCCGAACCCTTGGCCTTGGTGTTATCAGCACCACACTCTCCGAAGTGAGCCATGGGCGGCCCCTTAATTAGCTTTTTAATAAACATAATTCAAATGTTAAGAACGTTTTTATATGAATATTTTTAAGGCACTTGACACACATATTGCAAAATCACCCCCCAGGAAAGTTGTACCAGTTACATGCCCACCAGTGATGTTCACTTACATTTTTTAATTCAATCTAATTTTGTTTTAGTCTGCTCACATTTCTAATCTTGTTATATCCCTTTTTATTATTTCTTTGGGGTTCCAGCACCTCCCAATATAGTGTTCTCATTGAATTTCATTAGCAGCTGTTTCATTAGTAGCACAGAAGGATTAAAGTGTTAACTAGGATAGACTTTGACAAAAACCTATAAAAACGTGTATTATTTTCTTTGTATAAATCTTATTTAATCAGAGTTCCTCATAAACCTCTCTCTGATGCTTATCTCAAGGGACAGAACTGGCCACTGATATTCTAGACCTTGATACGTGAGGTTCTATCTTAGTCAGAATTGCACATTCAAGGGCCAGCCCGTGGCTCACTCGGGAGAATGCGGTGCTGATAACACCAAGGCCACAGGTTCGGATCCCATATAGGGATGGCCGGTTTGCTCACTGGGTGAGCGTGGTGCTGACAACAGCAAGTCAAGGGTTAAGATCCTCTTACCGGTCATCTTTTAAAAAAAAAAAAAAAAATCCCCTTACCAGTCATCTTTATTTAAAAAAAAAAAAAAAAAGAATGGCACATTCATGTTATATCTGGATTCATATTATACCAAGGCTTAGTCAGGTTCCTTGTAGCTTCAAATCAATTCACTTTGCTTTGCTTTCACTCTTCAACAACTAAGGAATCCAGGCTGGCTGATTAGCTCAGTTTGTTAGAGCACAGTGTTATAACACCAAGGTCAAGGGTTTGGATCCCTGTTCTGGCCAGCCACTAAAAAAAAAGAAAGAAAGAAACAAGGAATCTATCTACCTTTAGTTTGGGTCCTTGATTACTTGATGCACAAATTTCTCATTTTGCAAAATATATTCCAGAATAGGTATATTCTAGAAGTATTCTGAATGAATCTTTTTTTTTTTTTTTACTTGAATCCCATTTTAAATGTGGATATTTAGGGATATTAGCAAGGTACCCTTTTGGTAAAGAATCACTGCCCCCTTTTTTTTTTAATACAAAATGTCACAAATTTGGTTAATAAGGTACATACATGTTCTCACTCCATTATCTCTACTAATAGATGACTAATGCAAAATATTGAGTAATTTTTAAAAATCAATACTTAATTTTTTAGAAATAATTAGAGAGATATTCAACTCTGATATAAATTCACCATTCAGTTCCTGGGCCTGCTTCTGTTAGGTGATAATCTATAAATAATTTATGAAGCTGACATTACTCACTGTATTGTGATAATTTTTTCTGGGAAAATTTTAGCAACTGTTCTAATATAGATTGCCAGTTATCAGTAGTTGAGAATGCAAGTCAACTTTTAATTATGCAGAGGCTGATTATTCAGACTAGATTGTTTGTGCCCTGTAGTGCTCCTTCCTGCTGCCCACCTTTTAGCATTTTCACTGCTCATTAGCACATGTACCAGAAGGTAGGCATTGGACAAAGTGGGGGGAAGGAGAGGAAAATAAAATCAGTTAAGCAGTTAGGAGAAGCTCTGATGAAAGATTTTAAAACAATTTATAGAATTAACTATAAGTGAGTCATTTGAATTCCCTGTGAATTGTATTTACTTGTTCTATTCTTGTCCTCCATAGCAGCAAATAGATTGTCTGCAGAGAGACAACATTATTCTTGTATTTAAAGTTTTCCTTTATAGAACATTTTCACATGATGGTTCATGATATTTTCTTTATTATTTACATTTGTACCTAGACTACTTATTTTTTTGTGAAAGATTTATTGAGATTCCTGTCTTATATACAGTGATACCACAATTATCTGATGGTTTTCCAGTTTTCCAGAAAACTTGAATGTTTCCCTTTAAGTATCAATATCTTTCATATTTCAACCATTTGTTGAAATTTCAACCATTTGTTGGAAACATGGTTTTCTTCATGCTTAAACCAAGGCTACTGGACATTATTTAAGCATTTATAGAAGCTCAAGGTTATCTATCCTGTACATACTCCTAGGATATGATGACTATTACAAAAACCTAGGTATGTTCAGTCTAGGAGCCTCTGGTTGACAGTGAAATGTTACAAGCGTAGTAGAACTTGGGTGGTACTTGTGTTTTCATTTGCTCTAAGGCTGTTATTCTTATACGAGTTTTCTGCTTCCTTTTCCATTCTGTCACCTGTTTCTTTTGCCATTGTCAGGAATACCTGCCTGTTATATTCTCTGCTTCTTCTTAATTCTCTGCTTTTGGTCTGTTGTGGCATGAGAATAACCGAGCCAGTTAGAACTATGTCTAAAATAAGAGCAAGTAGGCTACACATGAACACAAAAAACTCACATATGAATATAAGTGCATGAGCTTTGGTGCAGAAACAGCCTCACTGCTTAGAAGCCTTTTTTTTCCTCCCTTCCTAATTTTCAATCATTTAAGTTGCTGGTTAATTGTGTTTCAAAGAGATTGTTTGGGACATGAGACTGTCTTGAGTAAAGCTAGTACAGAGAGTTTTCTTCAGTGAGAGCCACTGCTGTCCATAAAGATCCCATAAAGGTAAGACAAAGAGCAGAATGAACAAGTGAGCTTAAGGAATACTAATTTTTTAAAATATGTGTAAGCCTGCTTAAATATATAAAATTTGGGATAGTAACTAGGTCACTTGTTCTACTAACCATCCAAAGACCAGCTAAACACAAGCACTTGGACTATAAAAGTCTTTGGGAAATAACCTCAACAGGTACTCTGGTTTCTGTGTCCTCATGGACATTATGAAACTGTCTGTCTTGGAAAGCTCCCTACTGATAACTCCCTTTTTATAAAGTCTAATCTTTGGATTTTTTGTCGTGTAGAGATATAATGGTTATGTTTCAGGATTCTGGTGGACTTTTTCTGTGTTCATTCGCTTTGCTTCCTGGGGGGACCAGAGTTTGTTGTGAGTCATGTTCCATCTGATTTATATTGGATCCGGCTGTGGAGCCATGACTCAGATGGGCTTCAGGCCCAGTTGCCCAGCTCATCTTCTGAGGAAGGGATTGCGAGGCCAGGACTAATGTCCTGACACATTTTTCCTTTTTCCTCTTGCACTTTCAGGATCTAAAGAGAACATCATTACTGATAGCAGACAGGTACGCCTTGCCACAGGCATCTTCCCCGTCGTCAGCCTCTTAAACCACTCCTGCAACCCCAACACCACTGTGTCCTTCATTAGCACTGTTGCCACCGTTCGGGCATCACAGCCCATTGGAAAAGGGCAGGAGATTCTCCACTGCTATGGTGAGCCACCCCTCCTCACTACTGCCCTGCCCTTGCCAAGCAGAGAAGGACAGGGTGGGTAAGAATAAGCAATGGCAGATAGTAATGAGGGGCCTTCACCTGGCCAGTGGTTGTTTCCTGGAAGAGACAGTACATACTTAGGCCAAAAAAAAGAAAAAAAAAAAGGCCTTCTTACTAGGGCCCTATTGTGGCTAAGCTATCATGTCTCTCACTGCTTCGTCCCTATAAACTTCCTGGCCTCTTTTTCTTCCCAGCAACTTGGAAGCTTATTTTCAGTATCTAGTTCCACAAATGTTTAAGTAAAGATTACCGGTCACATGGTGAGTAATTGTCCAGACCCTCTGCTAAGCTGAAGGTTTTTAAGTAGCTTTTAACTCTCTCTTGCTTTAAACATTAGCTGAGGGCGCTCTCTCCCCAGGGCCTCACATGAACCGTATGGGTGTTGCTGAACGGCAACAGAAGCTGAGGTCTCAGTATTTCTTTGACTGCAACTGTTCAGTTTGTCAAACTGAAGAGCACAGAACAGCTGCAGGTCCCAGGTGGGAAGCATTCTGTTGTAACCATTGCAGAGCACTCATGCAGGTAAGTCTCTCTTGGCCCTTCTCTTCTGTACTTTTCCTGGAGGTCAATTATCCAGCCCAGAGGTCATAAATCTCTTGGAGGAAGCCACCAGGGGCTTATAGGTGCTAAGAGCAGTAATATCATTTCCATTCTAGCCAGTCATCCCCACACATTGACTACCTACCCCTCCAGAGGAACCGCAGGGAAGGGTTGGATTTAGTAATGTTTCTCTTGCAAATGACAGAAAATTCCACCTAAACTGGTTTAAGAGGGGAAAAAAAAAAAAAAGACAAGACTGGGAATTTATTTGCTTGAGTAAGTCACTGAAAAGGGCAACTTCAGATACAACTTGATCCAGGGGCTCAGATAATGTCAACAGGACCCGGTTTTTCTGTCTGCCTCTCATCTCTCTTCCCTCTATGTCAGCCCCCTTCTCAGCAGACGTCTCTCTCACACTGGCAAGATGGCAGCCCGCAGCCCCAGCCTCCTGTCCTCTCTGCCCAGGAGGGTAAAAGCATGTACCACTGTAACAACAGTCTGGGCAGAAATGTTATTGTTTCATTGCCCCAGTTACTGTGACTGGAGGAAAATCAGAGCCACATAGTTTTCCTCCAGCCATTTGGGCCAGAGAAAGGGGCTACATCTGAGCTGTATGCCCACCCCTCAGCTGTCGGACACTGACCATGGGAGGGCGAGAGGGGATCCTCAGGGGAAATCAGATCACTTTTGCCAAATGATGAAATAGAGACTGGCATCCAAAACACAGCAAATTCCACCTCAGAGGTTTTCTCCTCTGCCAGAAGATACAGTATTCTTCTTAGGGGAACCATAAGTGGAATGCAGAGCTGGTTGTGTCGGAAAGCTGAAGTTTCAAACCCAAGCTCACATGTGTGGTGGCCTCACCTCACACCTTTCTCTATTGGCTTTCTTATGGCTTTTTCATAACCACTAGAACTATGTTTGTCATCCAGAGTCCTGGCCCCAAAGGGGGATAAGAGAGGGGCTGTAGAGATGGAAAGAAAGTATGCACTCTACTAGTTCTGTTACGAAAACTAAATCTCAGATGGGATCAGCTACTGTCTTTATTAGAATTGCTGCTGTCAAACCAAATTCAATCAGACCTGGGTCGTGATGTATTATTGCAGGAGTCTCTTTCCCACAAGGGTCAGAAACTATGGAGCAATCCAATAACATAAGTACATGCGATGTTGCTAACCAACTCCGATATAGGAATAAAGATAAAACTGACTTCCACAGGGAGGTGATGTGCTGAGCTGTGGCAGCAGGTCTTGTACAGAATTCATCAGCAGAGATCACCTAGTCTCTCGGTTACGGGACCTTCAACAGCAGGTTGGGATGGCCCGGAAGCTTCTCAGAAATGGTAATCTAGGTGAGACTGGCTCCCTGGTTTGGTCTTCCAACCTCTTCCCTTTTATTCATTCTGATATCACCTTGGACTGAAGGATACTCAGCAGTGATTGAAGAATTTAAGTTAATTATCCCCATGCCAGCCACAAGATGGCTATACAGGCCAGTGAGACCAAACCCTAACCAACTCAGTTACTGTGGTATCCTTGAAAAAGGGCAGGATGATTTAAGCTGTTATTTTCTTATGCATCAGATAGCAAAGTTAAAGTACCCCTGACGACTAAAGGGTTATCTCTGACATCCATGAGCTTTGTGCAATTCCAGAAGTTCAGTGTCATTTATTTTAATTCCAGGGCCTCATGACCTAACTTCTGACAAAGGTTGTTCTGCTCTCAGCAGAGCCAGTCTCCTAAAGAGCAGTAGGGTGTGTGCCCATGGACATAAGTATCCTGCTCTTTCCAGAACAGGAGTTGTGGGTCAAGTGTTTGGATCCCCATAGTGGCCAGCTATTAAAAAAAAAAGAAAGAAAGAAAGAAAGAAAGAAGAGAAAAGGAGTTGTGGAACTCCCCATTAACTTTGAAAACTGTGCTTTAGAGCTTGACATCATGGGAATTTATTTACCCTACTTTGTGAAAGTTGAACTTTAGCTTAGATTTCAGAGTCAAGAGAAATAATGACCATAAGTGGAAGGTAGAGTTGGCTGTGTTGGAAGCCCAGGATAAATGTTGGGAGGCCTCACTTTGCACCTTTTTCTGTTGAAAGAGAAAACATAAGAGAACAACAGCTGTATTGGAACAGACGTTGTGAGTGGTGACAACCTGGGGAGACAAACAGGAGTTTCCACATCAGCCCAGCTAATGTAGAATGTGAGACGGTTCTTATTTCTAGGACTGGGTTTGTGTCTATAGTGAGGCATTTTCCTTTTGGATTGTTAGTGCAAGCCATTCAGCGGTTGTTGGAGTGCCAGAGTGATGCCCAGAGCTTCTTGTCGGCAGAACATTCTGTGGCAGGAGATATCGAGGATGGCCTGGCCCAGGCCTATGCTGCCTTAGGTATGGCCCATGTCTTCATTTTCTGCTGTAATGAGCAAGTCTGCCTTGTGTGTTTTGCCACAATCCTAGCCTCGTCTATGAACCCTAGAGGGTTCTCTTTCAGTCTTTAAACTGAGGCTGCTGTCCCTTTCATTCAGCTTTCCTTACCCTGAAAGTGTTCATCCACAGTTGATCATCGTTTTTTTCTGGAACAAGATTTTTCTTTCCTTGCAGGGGACTGGCAAAAGTCAGCCACCCATCTGCAGAAGAGTCTCCGAGTGGTTGAGCTTCGCCACGGGCCATCCAGTGTTGAAATGGGCCATGAGCTTTTCAAACTGGCTCAAATCTTTTTCAATGGGTAAGTCTTTCTCTTTTCCTAGCACTTTGCCAGGGCACATACTGTTATGTCTTTTACTACGCTCTTCTGTGTATCATTTTTTTTTATAGTGCTTTTAAGGACATTAAAACTTTATTTCCTCTTTAGGAGAGATCCTTGCCTTCTGTTTTTCTGACAAACTTGAAGCTTTAGAATTTCTTCTGAGAGATATGGGGAAAGCTCTTAGATGTGAAGTGAGTCTCCCAGGGAGAACTAGTGAAGCAGCTCCACCCACCCACCAGCACAGCATTCCTTCTCATTCCTCTCTGCTTAATCACACCCCCGCTTGGCTCTCTCATTACCAGCATCCTCAACTCTAGGGTCTCTGTCTTCTCCATAGTCTGCATCCAATTCCTTTTAAAGCAGTTGTTTTCAGACAGGAGCAATTTTTTCCCCAGATGACATTCGGCCCTGTCTGGAGACATTTTTTTTTTTTTTTTTTTTTTTTTTTTTTTGTCTTTTTCGTGACTGGTAAGGGGATCGCAACCCTTGGTGTGGTGTCGCCCGCACCGCGCTCAGCCAGTGAGCGCACGGGCCAGTCCTATATAGGATCCGAACCCACGGTGGGAGCGTCGCTGAGCTCCCAGCGCTGCACTCTCCCAAGTGCGCCACGGGGCCGGCCCTGGAGACATTTTTTGATTGTCACAACTTGGGGGCGGAGGAGGATGCTACTGGCATCTAATGGGTAGAGGCCAGAGGTGCTGCTAAACATCCTACAATGCAAAGGATGGCCTTCCTCCCCACCCCCTGATACCCCCAGCAAAGAATTATCCAGCTCAAAATGTCAATAGTGTCAAGGTTGAGAAACCTTACTTTAAAAGTTAAAAGGAAAGAACAGTAGGGTTGGTGAGCTAACACCTCAGTTGCTTTTGCTGCTGAGGTCATTTGGGAGGTCCTAATTTCAGTATTTCTGGATGGAACACCTCCAGGCTTGTTAAAACTACTGTGGTGTACATTGGTATGAGAAAGTGTTAGAAGCTTAAACCTAAGATTATGAATGTGGGTGGACCTGATACTCAAGACATAGAGACAGCCCATTTGGTCAAGAGAGAGAAAAGGGCTGCAGTGTTAGGCCAAGGATAGAGTTGGTTACTCTAAGATGAAGACTCCTGAGTAAAACTTGGGGTAAATATCAGATTAAAGCTTGGAGGTTTTTCTGTTTTTCTCAGGATCCTAGAGTCTTTATGCTTTTTTTTCCCATAACTTTTTCTCTCAAACTCTGCCTTGCATTGTTTTTGTGAAAGTGTCTTATCTACCCTTCTAGATTTGAAGATCCTTGAGGACAGCAATGATCTTATAAAACTTTGCATTCTTCACAGTGTGTGAGTAGGCCCTCAATGTTTGCTTGATTAAATGAGTGAACTAACTCCTTTTACCTCCTTTGGTTCAGGTTTGCAATACCCGAAGCTCTGAACACTATACAAAAAGCAGAGAAGGTCCTGCTGGTGCACTATGGCCCTTGGAATGACGAGATCCAGGAGCTCCAAAAGATGAAGTCCTGTTTATTGGACTTGCCACCCGTCCCTGTGGGGCCTTCAGTGTAGGGTCCTAAGGGGACTTTGATGCTCAGGAAATGAGCCCATGGAAAATGAATTAAAGGGGTTCTGTTGCTGCTGAGCTATTGTCAGGAAAGACAGGACTTGCCCAATAGTCCCAAGCCTAGGTGTGAAGTGCGGGGAAGACTTGAAAAGCATTGCAGCCAGAGAGATGCTCACCTATCTTGATGAATTTTCCTGGAAATAGTTAATGCCCTCCAATAAAAATTCCCAGTTCCCAGAAAAGACTTAAAACTAGTATCTGGAGAATCTAAGTCCTTTAGAAGTATTTTAGCTGATCTGCAGGCATCTGGATGTTATCCTGGGGTTTTGGATAGATTCCACCTCACTAAATGATGATAGTCTGTTTCCTTGGAACATTCCTACAGTTTCTAGTAGTAATGAGATGTTATGCACCACTCCAGTGGGAACTTAAACTGTTAGTAGTTGTATTGTAATTGAAAAATAATTACAAAGCAAGAAATCAGTGAGACTCCTTACCTCCTGAGACACATGATTCCACTTACGCTATCTAGCTTCCTCGAATCCTTTGTTAAAACTGGTGGAGTATAAATTGTAATTAGAAAAATAAATATGGAGCCATTTTATTGTTGGGCAGTTCCTTCCTGGGATGCCAACTCTAAATTTGTTTTCTACCAGTTTTCCAATCCTTACTCTTTGGCTTTCATTCTATACTCTTGGCAGACTCACTGACCAAACACTAATAAAATCAATCTTATACTAATAACTTTATAACATACGTGCCTCCTTTCTGAGCTCTTCTATTTATTAGCAAACCTGAAAAGAGACTAATTGTTTATACCAGACCTCCCCAAGCTGGTAAATGAAATACAGACTGCGTGAGTACTGGGAAGGGGATCAGGGGAACTTCAGAAAATGCTGAGGGTGTGGACATTGCTGTTTGTGGTGTCAAACTTAAGAGATGAAAAGTAGGGGTGATGGCTCCCCTCCACTGAGATCTGTAGTAGTCCAGACCCCATCCCAGTCTGAAGGCCATGTGCAGGATTCTCTGTGTCTGAATCATGGTTGCTCCATCACCACTGATGACCAGTGTTCAGATGTGTTAGTGGGAAAGTGTGTCAGGTCCACACTGCTTTTGAGAGCTGCCCACTCTGGCCAGGCCCCAGAAGTGCCCGTTGGTTGCCATGGCATTATACTCAGGAAATGAATAGTCCTGACAGTGCCTGGTGGTAGCTTTTCAAGAAGCTGAGTGTTTAGAATATATTTAGCATTCAAACATTTGTTGAATGAAGGATGGGCAGAATTTCATTTCTCCTCCTATCTAATAACTCATCATAGCAAGAGAGTGGCCAGCAAAAATTTTTGGTAGAGGTAACTTTTTCAAGAAAAAGAGCTTAGTCCTGTGGACAATTCTATAGTTACTCTATTGCAAACATTTGGCATGTTTAATGCTCCTAAAAAAAAGGCTGTTGTACTTTGCAAAATAGGCATACTTCCTTAAAAAGAATATATTTAAAATTTTTTGGCCAGTTAGTTTAGTTGGTTAGAGCGTGGTGCTAACACCAAGGTCCAGGGTTTGATCCCTGTACCGGCCAGCCACCAAAAAAAGAGAAAAATTTTAAGTACCAGCCAACTGCCCAAACACACACAAAAAAATTTAATAAAATATGTTTACATATCAGGTCCCATTTTATGTGTACTTGAGAGCTTTCTTTAAGTGCTTTATAAAATAAAGATTTCCTGAAGTTACAAATTACCTCCCTTATCTGTCCATGTGTTCTCCTATATTGTCACACGTGACGTTAGCTTGACTGGGGAATGCTTGTGCTTACATTAAAACCTAAAGTCTTGTTTATTTAAGAATGTGTTTCACTAACTGTGGGGGCAGGAGATGTCCTCCTGGGGGATTAGTGGTCCTTTTACATAAACAAATACCCCCAGAGTAGAGAAGCAGTCCCTGCATTATATAACACAGATAACTCAAAGTTATTATAAGTGGTAACTTTCTGCAGAGTTTAGAACCAGGCTATGAGAATAAGACCAGCAAATTCCTAAAGGGTAATTTATCTTCACATTAAATTTAGCGTAACTCGGGGCCGGCCTGTGGCTCACTCGGGAGAGTGCGGTGCTGATAATACCAAGGCCGCAGGTTCGGATCCCATATAGGGATGGCCGGTTTGCTCACTGGCTGGGCGTGGTGCTGACAACACCAAGTCAAGGGTTGAGATCCCCTTACCGGTCATCTTTTATTTATTTATTTATTTATTTATTTTTATGTTTTTAAAAAGATGACCGGTAAGGGGATCTCAACCCTTGACTTGGTATTGTCAGCACCACGCCCAGCCAGTGAGCAAACCGGCCATCCCTATATGGGATCCGAACCTGCGGCCTTGGTATTATCAGCACCGCACTCTCCCGAGTGAGCCACTGGGCCGGCCCACCGGTCATCTTTTAAAAATGAAAAAAAAAAAAAAAATTTAGCGTAACTCAAAAGAGGGGGAGGAACAAAGTAACAAAAGTTAAGGATAAAGCTCTTTTATTGTAAAGTATACATTGAAACATTAAAGGGGCAGCCTTCATGTAATGTATAATCTGCTATCCCTCTGGGGTTTTCTTCTTTTAGGGTACTGGAGCATTGAACTGGAACATTAAGTGCCTCTGGGGTCCAGAATTTTGCCTATGAAGAGAAGGGCCCCTGTGTCCGTGTCCCTCAGAACAAAAATGAAAGGTTGGTTAAGGTGATAGTCCAGAAGGAAGGTGAGGCGGGTAGGCTGGAGCCCTGGGCTGGAGGTGGTTTCTGCCCCATCTTCATTCCACTCAAAGCCAACCCTGTGTTCCACTTGCGTAAGCTTAATAGGTTTGCCTGTGATCTTGCTGAAGTCTGGTGAATCAAACAAGAGTTGCAGCTCTACAGAGATTGAGAGAGATTTCCATTAAATCCCTGCCTTATTCAACACCCCAAGAAAGAATACAATCCTGATTCTTAAATCCTGATTCTCAAGAAGGTGAGCAAGCTGGGAGTGGAGCACCACTCCTGACTTTGTGTGAAATATGTGGAGCTCTGAACTGGTTGAGGGTTAAGTGACTTGCCCAAGAGCACACAGCAAGTGAGGTTTAGATTAGAAACTGGGTCAAACAGACCTGTCTTGAGAGGCAGTGTTCTGAGCTCCTTGTTAAAGGATATACGTTCATGGACTGAGGAATGAGTCTGATAAGGAAGGCACTTCAGTCTTGCCCTCCAGCACTGTTAGGATTAAGGAACTGTCCATGACCTTCCTACAAGGCCACGTAGCCCTTCAGTCCTGCTTAGCAAGGTGGAAGGCTCAAAGACTCGACGTGACCCCACCCCACCCCCAAGAGCAAAAGGGTCTTGCAAACATACTCATCTCCTGCAGAGACTTGGTAACTTCGCCTTCGTAACTCAGCTTCAGCTTGGGGATGGTCAGGACCGCTTGGACAGTCTTCAGTTCTCGGTCTATGTCATGAATGAACTCAGAGGTGAGGCTCTCTTCTATCATGGTCAAGTTCTGGGTTGCTTTCAAGGGCAGGAAGAAGATGATACTCATGCTTCCGGTCAAGGGCAGTTGGGCGATCTGAAGCAAGAGAGGCAGCACATAGGTCAGTCCTTGTAGCCCAAGAGTCCAGGTATAGACACATACCAAGAACTGCCTTCCCCTCTCCTAAGTGGGGCCCTGGCCTTGTCTTCCTCCCTCCCCCAACCAATCTATTTAATTATTACTTTCTGGCAGCAAGTTGTTTCCTGATGTTCCTTTAAAAAGGCTGTTGTCTTTTCTTCCTTGGCCTAATACCTACTGAAGTTATCAGCTGAAAGAATGTTCTTATGGTTTTAAGGAGCTAGAATTGAATTTCAGGTCTGCGTTTTCTTCCAAAGTCCATCTGCTAACTCTCTGTATCCACTGGAGCTGGGTATACTCTTCTCTCCTGTCCATGGACGTCAGAGCTCAAAAACTCTTCAGCTTTTGGGTTCCAGACATACACAAAGGACACCATCAGCTTCCCTGGTTTTGAGGCCTTCAGACTCGGACTGAGCCACACTACCAGCATCCAGTTGCAGACTGCCTATTGTGGGACTTTTCATCACATTGCCTTATGTATCTAAACATATGTTCTGTTCTTGAGAACAGCAACTTTGTCTTGTTCACCTTTGCATTCTCAGCGCCCAGAATCGTGCCTGACACATACTCACCAAGATGGAGTAACAGAGCCCATGGCCCACTTACCACATTATTCCCACTTTACAGTGGAAAAGGAACTTGCAGTAATCACAAAGGATTTCAGTGTAAGCAAATTCAGGGAATCAAAGTTTGGACAATGTGGTTGTGTCTTGTTTATGAACTTGGGAATAGCTTGAGAATGAATGCCTATCTCAGTAATAACTTTAACATTAGAGGTTTAGCCCTTCTTTCTGTTCATAATTAGATAATAGGGTCTGCTGTATATACAAGACCATTCCTTGTCCAAGAAAATAAAGCCATTTCGTTAGAGCAAAAAACAAACAAAAGTCCATCTACCAACATTTACTGATCTTCTGCTATGAACAGAGCACTAGATTAGAAATGGGGCCTTTGGGGCCGAGCCTGTGGCGCACTCGGGAGAGTGTGGCGCTGGGAGCGCAGCAGCACTCCCACCCCGGGTTCGGATCCTATATAGGGATGACCGGTGCACTCACAGTGCTCACTGGCTGAGCGCGGTGCAGCCGGTCTCAAAAAGGACAAAAAAAAAAAAAATTGGGCCTTTGGCACAACAATACAGAAGCAGTAATAAAACGGGCCCTTTGAACAGAGGTTCTTAATCTAAGGTCCACAGAACAAATGGTGTCAGGGTCCTGGAGCCTCCTGAAATCATATACAGAAATGCGAGGGCCCATTTCACATTACCTGATTAATCCTTATAACAAATACTGAGAGGATAAGTTTTGATAACTACCCCCTACCCTATTTTAAGAAGAGGAAAGGCTCAGAGATGTGATTAACTTGCTCAAAGTCACACAGTAAGCTGTCAGATCTCAGAGGTCATTCTATTCCACTACACCATTCTGCCTCTCTTGTGTTCTCCCCCTTCACCCCCACCCACCACCCATGCTGTCCTTACAGACCTTGCAGCTGAGATCGGAATCCAAGCCATAGCGTAAAATAGTCTTCGGGTCTGACATCATGGGGACTTTCACGGTCCTCTCCTCATCCAAGTGGAAATCCTCAAGGGAAGTCTTTCTGGAGTCAAATTTTGTTACCCACTGCCCTGGAATGAAATGAATGGAATGTCCTGAGCCCCAGCGGACCAGGAAGGAGCAGGACCATGCTGTGTCTCCAAAATATGCTGTTGAAAATTGCCCAGCTAAAGGAATCTTATTCGTAAGAGGCTATGTCTCAACGTGTGGTTGGGACCACAGTATTTCCAGGACCCTGAATACCTTCTGCAAGTAAACTTTGATGGAAATAAGTTGATTTTGTTGATTTGATTCTCTGGATTACACAAGTTCTGTGATAGCCTGCGAGAAAAGTAAACTGGCCTACACTTCTACAGTGGTGTCTCTGGGAGACAGAATCAAAGGAGGTCAGAGCTCGAAGGGACTTCCAAGATTATCTGATCACTCCTCTCATAGTTGAAAAAGCACCAAAGCCCAAAGAGGTGGTGACTTGCCAGTGCTCACAGAATGAACTGATAACCAAATTCCTTTAGCTTAATGTGGCCTTTTATATACGAGTACTGGGTCTGTAACTGCTTGTTCACTCACTGGAGATCAGTGCTTG